TTTACTTCTCATTATCCTGCTCTGATTTTGTTAGTAATAAATTCAGTTAATATCCCCAGTTTGAGTCTGTTTCGCCTGCAATGGTAATTGGTGAGTGATCTCTCCCTGTCTTTATCTCAACTCATGAAATCTTTGTTGTATTTTCTCTACCCTGTCAAGTTGTGGAGGGGAGTGATAGAGTGGCTTTTGTGGGTGCCTGGCATCCAGCCAGGGTCAAGACACTACACTTATCCACTACTATCTCTGCTTCCTGTGGGACTGTCACAGTCTGATAAGACTGGAATGTTTGCTAAAGAGGATGAGTTATGAGATAGACCAAAACTTCTTTCTCTCAGCAATTGTAAATTCAAAATTAAGGGGCTTTAATCAAGGAAGTGTGGAAAAAACAGAAGAAATAACAACCCTTTATTAAAAGATATATGTATGTTGGCAAAAACAGTAACAGAACACAAAAAAATTAGATAGTAATCCTAGAAAAAGCAACAACAATAACAAGTCTGGATGAATACTTCTCTGTCCTTTAGCACAGTCCTAATCATGGCCTGCAGGGGGGGTGCTGTTGGGCTCTGGCGGTCACCACACAAGGAGGGGGCCTGGGGGGTGGTCTCGGATCACGGGAGAAGCCGAAAGGAAAACGGAGACCCTTCCCCCAATGGGAGAAAGGCAGAAGGAAAAGCAGTTCACCCCTACGGGACTCACTGTTCCCAGATGACGCTGTTCCAAGACTCTCCCATCCTCTCCCGGCAAGCACAGACCTCTCCAATGAAAAAAAACCCAGTAGGTCCTGGCTGGAGTCACAAGGCAGTGGCAGTGCAGGGTTGGTGGTCAGGCCTCACCAGGACGAAAGAACCAGAAAGACTGGCTCCCAGGCTTTTCCTCCAGAAATGCCCGGACACAGTCCCTGTCTCCATCCCGGCAAGAGAACTCCGTGGTCTGACCTGTCCTCTGTCCGGGAGACCAATTCCCCAAATCCCAAAACCTTCCCCCCCTCACTCCAGCATTCGATGGGCCATTAGCATGGAATGCAGCCTGGCCAGTCATTTCTTTTGTAAGGTTAATTGATTCCCTTCCCCTTTCCCTATTCAAACTCTGTTTCTCTTACAGGGAAGCAGGGAAAGAAAAATTTCTCTCTGATTTATAACCTATAACAGGGACTTGGATGAAGACTTGTTCTTTATTGCTCTACACTTTGCTGTAGAAAAAGTTCAAAAGGCATCTCTCCAAAACAGGTCTTTGGGGTTCCTCTTTGGAAGGTTAAAATAGGGAGCTGTGAATAAATCTGAAGAAACATTCAGGCAGCTGCCAAATACTCATGTGTCAGTGACTACATGGCTTGCTTAGAGCTGCAAGTGGTTCACGACAGTAGTTTAAATGGAACTCAGATCTCATGATTCTGTGTGAAACCAGTTTAAAGAAATTCTGTTAGAAAATGAGGAATAGTCCATTCTCACCATTTTGAAGCCACATGGAGCTAAGGAGTAAACCAATCTGCACACGTAGGAAGGTTTCCAAGAAAACCCTGCAGTAAAGTGTTTTGGTTGTTTCCTTTAACACTCATCATTTCTCTCCCAAGTCACAGAGAAGACCATACAGATGTTTTTAACTACACCTTAAAGTTACTTTTTGAGGAGCTAGGAGAAAACAGTCCTTTTCTTTGCCTCAAAGAATTTAAATCTGCTTAGTTACATTAAGAAATAAAATTAAGGGTAGAAGGAAAATGTAAGGCAAAACTATGTCACATTCTTAAACATCTACTGTAACTTCACATATAAATATCAGATTCTGATCTCACTAATACCTAGTTTACTTCAATAATTTTGATAGTATTTCAGGACTGTGCGAGGACAAGGAAACCTGATCTCACTAAAATTAAACCTCTCAAAGGCTGTTCAAATTACCTGTTTTCAAAGGTACATCATACATTGATGACGAAACCCTTATGGTGTCCTAGTATAGGGCAGGAAGCAAATTGCTTTTTGTGGAAGTTGCTGTGCAAAGGCTCCACATGATCCAAGCTATATCCAAGCAAAGGTAACTCCATGGCTGTGACTTGGGCGTGATCCCAAGTGGGCTGAAGCAGTCTACACCATCAATCCTCCTATTAAGTACAATTTTTATAAAAACTACACTCCTCTTATCACTATCTCTACATGAATAACTAAACTGAGCTGAAACAAAACTGCACTGAGCAGTTTGACTCCGTTCACTCTATTTCTCAATATCATTTTTCCACCACATATTTTACAGGAAATAACTGCCACTATAATAGATCACCATCTTCTCTTTTATGGAATATAAAAAATGTAGGCTACATCAGTGCTATCCTTCCTCCTCTTCATGATCTACTCTCAGTAAAAATACAGGGTGTGCTTCTGAGACAGGTTACAAACGTGTCTTGCTTGAGAACAAAGTTAGTACCTCTCAGCAGCAATGATTAAAAGCTTTAAAACGTATTTTAATTTGACTCAACTATCATTTATTACAAAAGCTTCTATTTATCTTGAAGTACAATAACATTGACTGAGAACTGCGAAGAATTTTTCAAAGAATGAAAGCCTAGAGAGAGAGTAGCCAAAGGTGCAAATGATTGGAATATTTTTTTATTAATAAAATATTGATATTGTTAATAAAAAGGCAAAATAAAATAGTGTTCATACCGTGTATCTTCCTCCTCTTAAGTCTGCAATAGTAACAGTTACCACTAGCCTGATTCTGTGGCATGCTGAGGGCTTCCCACAAAATGCTGAGCTTAAATTCTTTGTGATTATCTGATATCTTACCTGGAGCTGGTTCAAAGAATAAAGCTATGTGAAAAGCATATGTGAACTTCTGAAATGACAAACTAAAATCTTAGATACCTAGATTACGTATATTGACCACTATGTTATCATAACATAACTGTGTAAAAATCCTTTTGATAGCTTACTGACTTAATGTAATTTAACTGACCCTTATTTGCTAAGATACTCTATAAGCCAGTGTTTGGAAAGGAGCCACAAGAAAAGAAAAGAAGAAGAAAGAAAGAGAAATCAGATTAAACTGTATATCTGGGGTTGGCATAGGTTTAGCAAGCATTACTGAACATACAGAATGCAGAATGCATTACTATTTCTTGGAAAAACTAGTATTAAATGAAAGACAAATGCCTGAGCCAAACAAACTACATCTCTTTCAATTCCTAAATATTCTATCAGTGGCCACATGACAAAGAAGCAGTATTAGGAAAAAAGTGTTCCACTGCTAAGCACCACTTTGTAACTGATACAAGAAGCATACCTGCCATTTTAGTTTACTATTGATATTGCAAGTGAAAATGAAAGTTATGATTCCCCAGTAAAAAAACCACATCCTCTGACCTTAAACTGACAGTCCTATCTACCCTACCTTAACTGCAGCAGATGGTGAAAGAAGTTACTAAAATCCAGAACATTAGAATAAGACTAAGTAACACGGTAAGTGCAAATCTACCTTGTCAAACTCCTTTCAGTATTCCACACCATTATTAATAAAATGCATTACATTAACTAATTACATACATATGAGCAGTCATCATCCTTAGTTTATTACTTCTGTAACTCTGCAGTTTAGGGATGTTGAGCAATGCCCCTCAATCACACATAACCAACATCAGCCCATGCTGACCTCATCAAGCAGCTAGAGTTACCCTTTCACTGTGAGAAAGTCACTACTATCCAAGTCAGCTCTAAAGAAAGACACTTCATAATCCCACAACAATCTCTAAGTGAAACATACGGACAGGTTTAGGTAAAGCCTGCAAGGATTCTTCATTAAATGGAAAACAGGTGCTCCTGTTCTGCATAATGTCCCATTTACTGTTAAGTCCAAAGGTTACAGGACTAATAGCTGCCTTGTGGTAATCTGGGAGCAAAGACATTGGCCATGGTCAAACAGCTGGGATGTATTTTATATATTTGCAACATATGCTTCAGTTTCAATTAAAGTGAGGTTTTGGCACATTTATTATTCTTGTAACTTTCTTCACATAAGAAGATCCATTTTCCTGAGTCTTCTATTATGCCATATGAAAAAAACCAAGAGAAATAATAAAAGACAGAGGCCATTATCAGCTGGTGTTAAAAAATCTGCATTTGTTTTCTCACGAAACTTCATTTTGCACATAGCTTTAAGAAAACCTATACATGAACTAAAATAACACAGAAGTGCACTCTTCCATTTAGCCAAAAATATGTAACAAGAAGAGCAGTATGAGAGTATGTCTAGCGCACCAGAAAGGAAAAACAGACTACTAGCTTTGAATGACAAACAATTATAAGCATGTGCTAATAATTTACAACCCTAGTGTAAAATAATGCACGCTGCAAACATACTGAATATAGGTGGTAGTCCACATATGCTTATTTTAAGAAGTGTAAGGTTTTTTCCCATTCAAACAGCATATTCAATCTTGAGAGCTCAAAACATTTGCAATAATGAAGACAGCTTTGAATTTATAAAAATCAACCTTAACACCTTCTGTATAGAAAGACAGCTCTTAAATATTCAATAAAAGGGCTCACTGAACACACACAGTAATGTCAGTACTCACTTTTATTCAACCTTGGTAACTAGATCTAGAAGAATGTTTGAACTCTAGTGTCAATTTGAGAAAGCTGAATATTTGATCACAACACTGAAACCTAGAGTGATATTTCTAATTAGGTATGTTTTGCCTGGCGTTTGCTAATCACCAGAGAATTGGGGGAGGAAGGGTTGACCCCCGCCCTCATCTTCCCCTTTAAAGGAGTTTGTCTAGCAATTTCCAAAACCCACTAAGCAGTAACTACATAGGCTGGCTTAAACTACAAGCAGTCAAGCAGTATTCTTTCTGAACTAACCACAGTGATTAAAATATCCAGGAATACACACACTACTAGTATCATACATTTGCATCAGCTCTAATAATAAAGCAGAAAGAAACAGGAGAAAATGGTCTCAAATGGATGGCAGATCAGTGTTTATCTGAAAACAAATGATGATTCAAAGCCAGCATGCTGAGACAAAATACAAGCTCTTCACAGCTACATGATGGACCCTTGCAATAAATCATGTATTTTATTGCCAGAAGTGGATGCTCATATAATTTAGTGTTAAAAACCGTCGCATATGTGTTTTGTAAAAGAAGGTCTTTGTTATTACAATGTTTGCTCATTCTGAAATTATGTAGCTAACAATTTAAGTGGCGTATAGAAGAATTTCACATAATAGCTTTCTGTCAATTTTAAAATGTTTGACCTGGCAATGGAACAAGGAAAATAATCTTTTTTTAAATCATTTCTCATATTTTAGGTGTTAGCTAACAGAAAAATAATCATTCAGGGTATTAACTAATCATGGTGAATTTTCTGACATTTCAAATGCTGCTGCCAGCATATGAATTGTTATATTCTTCATATAAATGTATATCTCAGCCAGAAAAAAGGTCAAGAGTATAAATACACTGTTTTTCTCCTTTCAGAAAAAAAAAATTGCTTTACTAGAAGAGAAGTGGGGGGAACATCTGTGAAGGTCAAAATAATCTGAATTTTAATACAAAGTTGTTGTAAAACTATATTTTTCCTTTCTTCCACAAATACCACCTTTCTGATAGGAAAATACCAGCAACAAAGGGGCTGTCTTCACTGCACTTGTCTCACCAGAAAGCCATCCTGCCAGTGCTAGCCATTGCTTCAGTGGTGGAAGGTCATTCTAATTTCTTTTCTCTGTTTTTTCCCTCTCCCTGGGGGACAACCAATCCAAGCAGTCTGATAGTGGGGCTAAATGTGGAAATGAGCTGTTATTCACTGTGGTTGCAATCCTCAACCCAATCAGCAGCCTCTAAACTGAACCACATCCACTCAAATAGCTGAATGATCCCCCACAGTTTCCCACCTTGCAGGGCCACAATGCAAACTTCAAATCAAGTGGATGTCTAGGAGAATCGTGATTACTTAAATGTCATATGGAGTGCAAAACTTTTAAGCCGTTCTCCCACCACGTAATTCTTTGAAAATTTTAGATGTCAATATCCCAACTTTAACCCGTATGGAGTTGCTATTTCCACATCATTTTTCACCTGAAGTGCAGTCCTATTTGTAATATTCAAGACAGGAGGAATTTTTGTCCTTCAAAAACAGTTGTTGCTGCAGTTATCTTCACAAGAGCTATCAAGTTCCAGACATGCTGAATTATTTTTGTTCCTGGCAGAAAAATATTTGACCCAGCTCTGGACTGGGGGGAAAAAAAAAAAAAAAGGAAGGATTTATAGATCTCTATCCTTTCCTGCAACACACTGTAGCATTATTAGGATGATAAACAGATCTGTCCAATTTTCTGGACTAAAACACTTCAACTCCTTTTTTAACTGTCGGTAAAAACAGTGTCATGTCTAAATTCTCCCATCCCCAGATACCCAAGTGCTAGGAAACATAATTACCTTGTCATCTCTGTCATCCTCTTCTTCCTCGTCCTCTAGCATGTCCTCCACTACCTGCAGACAGAAACAGTAGTAGTTGTCATGATTTAAAAAGGTAGAGTTTTGTTCTGTCAATTCTAAGCCTTTTGTAGATGAAAACTTTATTAACACTTGAAATAAATGCAGAGGGAAAATGTACAACCAGGAAAAAACACTTGATCTAGAGATTCAAATTTAGGAAAGCATTATAACTTTAATTGACCTACATTAGGGAATTATATACTGAAAATCCTTCCTGCACAAAATGCTTGCTTGACAATTTAAGTATTTAAAAGGTAGTTCAAAATTCAGTATATGCTTGCTTTAATTAAAGGAATCCTTTGTCAGCTCCATTGGTGCCTAAGCGCCACACACATATGCTCACTTCAAATTTACTGTTACCTACATAAAAGGGCAACCTTTTTAATAGAATTTACAGTATTCACCAAGAGATTTTTGAAGAATACAAAGCTGGGAATAAATTCATAGTAGCTTATTTCCTTATAATCTTCAACAATTATGTATTCCATATGCTCTATCAGCATTAGCACTGTGTTTCTTAATAGTAATTTTATACAATCTGTGCATTTAACTTTATGCACATTCATTGCTAGCTGCAGTTGCCACATATCTGCATCTGTGTATTTTTCCATATAAAGTTCTCCAGTCTAGCACTGGGAAATATACACACACACATTCAATTCATTCTACAAATATTATAATTAATAATCACACCATGAGCATGAAATGAACCACTGAATCTACTTTACAGAGGTTAAATGACTTTCCAAAGATGAGCACTGGCAGATTCAGACTTAAAAGTCAAAAATCCTTCTCTCATGACACTGTGATCAATGACCCTAAGAGGAAAATTCTCTGTTGGTGGAATGAAAAAAAGCTATACCTCCTTATAACCAGAAAATAATGTGCATCTTCAGATCTTTATTTATATCTAAGTACATATTAGGATACAAGAAGAGCCATAATAAAGGTCAACAAAGATTCATCTAGCCCAGTGTCCTATTATGAATGCAAAAATCGTATACTACGTATTATAAAATATGCATAGAGTGGAAAAGAGAAGGAAAAACTCACCGATATGAAACAATAATAACTTGGCCTATTTTACAGACTTGCTGCCAACTAAAATGGTGGTTTACTATGTGATATAGGTGAAGCTACAAACAATTTTAGTGTATTTGTCATTTAAGACAACGCATTAAAATTATAATTTCATAATCAGCCTCCAAACACAGCTGTAAGGATATTCCCAAATCCATGTCGAAGAACTTAAGGGACTTTTACACTATCCTAGAGCCAAATTCAGGTAAGAGAAGAATGGAAAAACAAAAGTGTGTGTATTGGTTTCCTGTCTCAGCTCAAACATCAGGAAGGTCACAGTTAGTCATGTTACATGGGCCCATGCAAAACATTAACAACGCACGGTTTGATGTAACATGCACATCTAGTAGTACACTGTGCATACATGCAAGTCAACTGCACAGTTCAGAACATTTCCAGTTTCAGCTGCTCCTCCTTGTTTCAACTCTGTTCCAAAACACCTCTGACAACAGTACTTTGGAGGGAAAGGAATGTCTAATTCTGTCTACTGCCTGCTCTGTCCTGGAGATTAGAATCAAAGATAAAACTAGAAACACAAAGCAACCATAGAAAGTGAGCATGCCCAAAAGCACAAGGAGGAAGCATGATGCAAGCAATGAAGAAATTACTCTTGAATTCCTTCCTGCCCAGAACAACAATTTTAGCAGGAGGAGCCTGACTGACCAAAGCTTTTGTAGCCTCTGACCCGGTGCCAGCTAGGCAGGTGTACTTCTGAGTCCCCTCAGGTTGAAGAAGGAATCCAGGCTGTGCTCTAGCCACTATCTATAAAGAAGTCTCCCTCCTGTTCTTTGTTGGCCTTTTAGGCCAGGTCTGCTCCATTGCTCAAAAAAAGGGGATCAGAAACAGTGTCAAGAGAGTTTTGGTCACAGGGAAATGTTGAGAGCACATTTGTGAAATCAATGTCAGCTCCCGCTTAGCTCAGTACACTATCTTACACATTCAATTTGGAAGTGTCTGAGAAGTCCTGTCTTCACTGACCTCCCTGTGAAAAAAAGGCATTTCCTGTTTCCCATGCACCTACATCACCTTCTTGTCCCTCTCCTGGTAGCTGACTGTCATCTTCCCTGGCCTGCTCCAAATCTTTGGAGAGCTGAGCCATAAACTGCATCACTGGGCTGAGTTCTTAAAAAAAACGCATCTCAAACTTTTAATGTAGTGACCCAGTTTACTAAGCAGCTCCAGGAACACCCCACCAGCTCTACCAAGAAAATGGTGAACTGAGAAGAGAGGACGAAAACAAACTGTTAAGGGCTGCAGCAAGATGGAAACCCTCTTAAATCAATTTTGCCACATGGAAAAAACCCACTTAACTACATCAGTAGTTGACTAAAGCCCAAGGTGTAAAACAGATCTGTTGGCTCCCATACTCGCTAACACCTGGAGCTGACTAAACTCACTGAGTCTCTTACTTTCAACACTTAAACATCTCTTTGACGTACATCCAGAAATTCCTTGTCTTGACAGGGTTGAATAGCTGAATGCCTATCTCACATTGGCGTTAAAGTTAGCAATAAGACAGTCAGTTGACTTGGAAATCTCTAAAATTATTGCAAATGATAGCGGAGAAATCCCTTGCATGACAATACCTACTCCAAATTATCTGGATAATACTACTTCAGACTCAGTTGTTTTTTTTCTTCCACACCTAATGATCTCAAACTACTTTACAAGCTTCTGTAGGGTGGCAAAATGTTAACTTGTTCAAAAGGCATAAAAAGTCCTTTAAATTACTTGAAGTATCAGACTAATCCCAGATTTCCATCTCCTCCATTCAATTTTTTAATTCAAAAGCCACTACCAGTTTATGGTCTTGTACTAGGTTAGTCACATCATCAGTTACATTGAGATTTGGAGTACTGAATTGTTTGGAAAGAAAAACTGAATTCAGTTATTGTAGTAAAATAAAATGTAGTGAAAGTGTGCCAATGCCCAAGATTAACAAATAATTCTTTAAAGTATATGAAACATATATAACCCATGCTTTCATGTGTCTTGAAATTCAAAAGGAAGAGCAGAAAGAGAAAAACCCGATACACATGAACATACAGACAATACAGACACAGTAATACAATTCATTAAACCACCAAAACAAGCGTTTTCAGAACTTTGCCACAAATTAAAACAAGGTAAGTAGATTCATCATAGTCTTATGATATAGGAAGGAACACCGTGAAGCCTTATAAAAGTTGTATACTGAAGTACAGTCTATTTCTTCAGAACAAAGCAAGGCTGTTGAAGAGAAGCACGGTGGATCTGAACACAGATTTCACTTCAACACTATAGTAGGAATGCAGTAGAAAAAAAAACCCACAATGGAATTTTTTCTGCCTTGATTATGCTTCGATTCTATTCAAATAAAGTGCACATGTGCCCCTCTGTTTTAAATGAACACAGTAGTTATTTGGATATCTGTGTCAAGCATTGTACCTGGAGAAGATATAATGGAGGGAGGGAGGAGATGGGGAAGGAGGGAGAGGAGAGAGGGTGGACAAGAAAAAGCGTATGAAGATAAAATAAAATGTTAGATTTATTTGAATAAAAGTTCTATGGTAAAAATCTTAGATTGCCCTGAGAATATTCACTCTAAATTATGCTTCTGATACCTTGCTTGAAATCAAGTAGTATTAATCAAACAAAGGAATAGCACTGGGGAAATCAGAAGGATCTAACGCAACCAGTTAAAAGTGACATGACCTTCTGCAATATCACTTGTCACAGACTTATATGCCACATACTGGTAGAAGGTCTTGAAAGAAACTGTTTCTTGGTACTGTCCCTTGAATGTAATATGAATACAGATGACATTTTAAAAAACACACATAGATGGCCTCAAATATGGCACGTAAGCTACTTCACAGCCAAACAGTAACCAGATATTTAAAGGTTGCAAAGTAAGATCCTTTCCCTGCAAAATAGCCCTATTAAAAGCTTATTAATCAGAAGCAGCGCGTACTCTAATTCCTATGTATTACCATTATTCCTGATCCATTCCTACCTTCTTTGAGAAACACAGGCCAAAAATACTGTATGACTCATAATCAATAACAGATTGGAGGAGTCACAGCAGACAACTCACACTAGGTCTCCAGATGGAAGCACAGCCACCACATTTGCACACTGAATAAAACCTCTGCATCTGTGGGGTAGAATGCAGTCTTCTGAGGAAGCTGACATTAAACACAACTTTATTCTAAGGAATTTATTCTAAGGATTTACTGACTAACAAGATAGAATTTCTGAGAAAATAATTGATTTTGACTTCTAACCTCAACACCTGCAAAGCAGGGTTGGATTCTAGTTATTTACAAGTGTGATGAATCAAAACCCACAAATGTAGAGAACTTAGAAATACCTCCTGAATCTAAAGAATCAATGGAAAAGCGACACCCTGAAACTTAACACCATTTTTAATGAAAGGTCCTTCTCTCTTAGCATCAGCCCAATGTTTCTCATACAAAGTGTGCCAACCACAAGTCACTCCATCGTCTTTGTTCTACATTTTTTGGCTGATCCAACAGAAACACCTGCATAGGAGATACTATAATGTCTTTACATGTTAATAATACCAGGTATCTGCTCAGCACTAAGATGTAAAATAAAGAAAAGAAAAAAAAAAAGAGGCACTACCTCTGCAGATAACCCTGATGACTGTTACCTTAACATTTTAACATGAAGCAATGCTCCCCCACTAGAACTTCTCTAGATCTGCTTTTATCTTACTTAATGTAAGATATATAGGTGGATTCAAAAGAAAAACAAAACACTTTTTATGCCACATATGTTAGGACATAAAAATATCTACAGACATTTGTATTTTCATATATAAGTATTAAAATTCATATGAGAAAACAAAAGAGAGGACAAGATTTGGTTCCAAATTAAATGCACTTTAGATATGCAATGAATGTGTTCAG